CGGGGATAAGTCCAGTTGATCTAGAAGATGGTAAATAATTTCAGATTTCTAAAGTTTTTTAGAAAATGATAATAATGCTATTTGTTGTTTATATTTATCATCAATTATATCAACTATTATTAATAGGTCCGGCACTTCGTACCATTGTTGAGCAAATTAATAATGATTCTGATTACCTGAATTATGTACAATCATTTAAAAAAAAATCCCAAAAATTAAAAATAAACGAGATTCCTTATAATCAATACAATATGGTAACTGACAAATTATTTTTTAAAATGAAAAGTTATTTTCTATAGGTTTTTTTATTAATTTTAATTGTTTATAGTCAGAACAAGCAATTAATATTATAAATCCTACAAATCCTAAACCTGTATTTGGAACTGATTTATCAGAATTAATGAAAAGAGATGGTGGAGTTATACCAATTATACTAAGGAAATGTGTCACGGCTGTTGAAAAATATGGTTAGAAACAATATTGTGTGGTGATGGTTGGGATTATTTTTTTTTTTTTGAATAAATAATTACAATTTTTTTTGCAAAAAGGCTTAGAAAGTTTAGGTATTTATCGATTGTCAGGAGTTACGTCACAAGTTCAAAGTTTAAAATCATTGTTTGACAAAGGTAATTGTTAATGTTGTTACTCTGGTAAACAAACAAATTTATTAACAAATTACGCACACGCATATATATTTATGTATTATAATAGATGCCGAGTCGGTCGATTTGGATTCCGAGGAGAATCTTAAAGATATAAATAACGTTTCGAGTCTTTTAAAGCTATGGTTTCGTGAACTACCCGATCCTTTATTTCCAAGAACAATGTATCAAGATTTTATTAATGCTGCTAGTAAATATATATTTATATTAGTAATTATTTATGAAGTATCAAATTTATTGAATAATAATCATAACCATCATGAATATTTGATGGATGAAGGCATTCACATACAAGGAAATGAAGGAAATGATTAAATAGTAAGTCATGTTTGTTTTATTAAATACATATGGTTAAATCAAGCAATCAAGCTGTTATACTTACACATGATTTAAAATTCTTTTGTGCTAATTTAGGATCCCATCTTTCTTTGCTTGTATATAATCTATATATTCTTATTATTATGTTTACTGTTTTTAGAAATAAACAATAATTCTATCTAAATTTATTTGTTTATCTGTTATAGTATGATCAAATAAAATTTGGATTTCCAATTAGACATTTTAAAAAAATATAAGATCATCATTAATGATATTCTAAATTTTTCTCTTTTTAAAAATATATGTATGTACCAATAATTAATTCAATTTAAAACTATCTATTATATTTGGTAGTGATTGCTACACAGTGAGGGAGGGTATCAAGCAAGAATGTAAGACATTCAATTATAAAAAATTTTTACTATGTAAAAATTCGAATTTACTATTACTATAGATCTGTGGTGACCAGTAATTTTTTTAATTGCTTTTTTAGGGAATAATAAAAATCGTTTATTTTTTATAAAAAATATGTAAATAAAAAAAAATAAAAAAATATGTAAAAAATGGATCACGGCATAAGATCATCATAAATAACGATATTCTTATTTTTTTCCTTTTTAAAATATATATACCAAATAATAATCACTTAATTCTATCCAATTAAATTCAATTAAAAATTCAAATATATTTGTAAAACTAAAGATATATAAGAAAGGTTCATAGTTTTTTATGCAAACAATTTCCTTATTTGTATTTCTTTAGTCAAGGTTGACAAGTTTTTTCATAACGAACTGAACACAGACCTTCCATCCAAACTTAACTTAATGTTAACAAAAAACTATATATATATAATTTAATCAATTATTGATAAAAAAAATAAATTTTATTTCTTTATTTTTTTATGAATTTATTATAATTATTATTATTGATTGATTATTGTAGCATGCATTGACTAGGATTAATATTAAATGTAGATAGATATAAATATCTACATACTGGTGGAATTGTGATTGGGACAACGCTTGATTTCAGATTTGGTATTTTTTTATCTAAAATTTCCTTTTTTTTTGTTAATAATTTTCTAGAGAAAAATCAAAAATTCCATCCAGTAATTGGTATGCTTTATACTAATTCATCAATTCTCTGGATTTTTGTAAGATAGTGGAAATTCTTTTTTTTTATGATACAATTGTTTATCTTTAGTATTGTTGGGAATCAAACGATCTCACTTAGTCCAATACTTAACTATTATCAATTATCATAACATCTGACATTCTTTTGGTTCATTTTTTTTTTTTGAGACGAACTTTCATTCTGCCTTCTTTTCTTAATTAAGGTTTCTGGTCGAAACTGCTTCTATTAGTAGCCGAAATTGCCCAAATACTTTGGGCAAAAATTATTTTTTTATAAGCCCAAACTACTTTTTGTTATTAGCCAAAATTGGGCGAAATTATTTTAAAGTTGTTTAAGTTAAAACAAGTTGATTCATATAGTTTTTTAATGTTCATGCTTATAGAAAATGTTGAGAAGCCCAAATTGCCCAAACTAGTTTGGGCTTTGAGAAAACAATTTGGACCAGAAACCTTAATAGATATGGGGTAGGTGCAGAGTAGGTGCAGAATGCATACAAACATGCATGGAATACACATGGTTTTTACAGAAAACATATGGAATTAGTTAGCACATCATGTAATTCTTATGGGAAATGTACAAGAAAAACAAATTCCATATGTTTTCCATAAAAACCATGTGTATTCTGTGCATGTTTCATATGCATTCCGCACCTGCTCCGCATCTACTCCATATCTATCCTGCACAAATTCTGTACATTTTGGCACATTTAACAGGAAGATTCTGTGCATTTTTTCCATACCCATTCCATACCTATTTTGTAAAACAATACAGTTCATGTACTGTTTCCATATGTTATTTTTTATAGGGCACTTTACCAACAGGACACTTTACCAACAATCAAAGTAAAGTCGAACTTGATGTAGAAATGGTCTTGCAAGGAACACCACGACCCCCACAGAAACCACAAGATCGTAATCATGAAA